GTGTGGCGCCATGAATGGTGCCCTTTACCCCAAGCATGTGCATGTACGCCGCCCGCGTCGAGCGTATTCAGTCCTCAGCGCGGGTCGAGGTTCCAAAGCTTGTCTTGAATCCGACGACGCGCTGCTGCGCCCAAGCCCATCCGCCGACATGACTTACGCGCACGCTGTTACTAGTCGTTAGCTCCACGCCCTTTTTCCTTTCTAGAACCTGATCAAAGGCGACCCGTCGGCTCGGGACCGCAGGAGTCGATGCAGACGAGAGCGACCGAGGACGACAAAGCCAGGCTGATCCTGGCGCTGCCCAAGATCAAATCGCATGCTGACTGGTAGGTTTCGGGCATTCCTGACTAAAACGACAGGGCCTGCAAAAAAAAAGGCCCCCTTCTCTCAACCACCCCCCCCCCCCGACCCCTGGGCCACCTTCCTGCTTCTTGTGCGGACAGGGACGGGCAAAAAAGGCAGCTTGGAAGAGGTCGAGGGTCGCACACTCGCAGGCCACAGGACATGTCGGGACCCACCAGCAGTGTCTGCCGTTGTTCCCCAGGCCCTCGCTTCGTGGGCGGTCTTGGGCTCCGCTTTTCCCCATCGCCCACGCCCACGCCCTATTTGCTTGTCGCTCGCTCCTGGCGGCCGCGGCCATGGGCGAAGAAAATGGAAACATGTTAAGCGTTCCACCGTTGTTGCCGCATCCTACGCGCATGTCCCCCCCCCCACCTCTGCCACGCCGCGCCAACACCACCAACCTCCACCATTGCCATCACCACTCACCCACACACACCACCACCACCATCCCTCCCAAAGTCTGTTTGGAGCCGCACAACGCCATGCGATGCCGAGCTTAGCTTTTGCGCCACCGCCGTCACCAATCTGTGCTGGCTGCGCGTGAGCATTAGTTTCGGAGTAATTATGCCGTCACCTTGCCCTCCTCTTACTACGGCGACGCATGGCCTCCTGTTGTCGGCACTCGACTAGGCGCGCGCCCACGAGACACAGAAAGCGTTGCGAGTCCAGCTGCCAATGACTCGGCCCTCTGCCTACCACCACTGCCCTCCTCACATGCATGAGACTACTCATTGACCGCTCTTCAGCGATCTGTCCATCTTCCATCGGCCGCGCCGTACCTATGATCTGCCTCCCCTACGTGCAAAGGACCACATGGCAACACTAATGCAAATCAGGCCATTGATAAATTTTTTTCTATTCTTGGGAGGGGGACCAGCCAGCACACGTCCATTTTTTTCCTTTCCTATAGCCCTGTATCCAAGGCTCCGGATCTCTCGCATCAGCTTGCACCGAAGCAGTAGCGTGGTGCCGCAATGCTGGAGTAGCAAGCAAATGATATGATCCACACATATAACCTCTTGGTTGAAGCAAAAAAAGAAAAGAAAAGAAAAAAACCACGGCTGCATCTGAGGCAAGTAATTTATCCACGAAAGATCACACCACTCACTTGGCCTAGATCCGCGGAGGGTGGTCGAGTCTGTCTCCCCGGCACGCTGGGCGTCTTACCAGGTTTTCTTGAGGGGCGCCTTTCTTCCTTACGCACGCACCCGCCTTCTGGCATTACCCTAACGGGCCCATGGCTCGGACTAAACTCCTGAGTAAAATTCGCGCTTGAACTGCACCGCACCCCCGATGCATCACCACACCCACGCACAGCCGTGCGATCCGTCCACCGAATCTGCCCATCTACCAATGCGCGGCCCACGACTCAGGCCTCTTTTTTTTTCTCCCCTAGTGTCTCACTCACCTCTCGGTAATACATACTGCACCAGAGCCTACCACCATCAACCCTGACCGTCCGTCGTCAAAAGTTACTGCCATGGCTACCACGATTACCTGCTACGGCCGTGAGCTGTTGCCCGAAGCGTCTGACGGAAGCCGGGATCAATTCTCAACTGAGATCGACAGTTGCCGGGTTGCCCCAAACCGCTCTTTCGACTGCAACGCGCGGCCCTTTTGATTCTCTACACCCCAGCCTAGCCAGCTTTCCTGAAACAGGGACCCTAAGCCCGCCGCGTTCGCACTTGAGCATCTCACAAACCGCTCCTAGCGTACTTGCCGCTGCCTCGATAGCCTCACTTCCACCTCGGCCTCAAAGCTCTGACCCGCCGCCGTATAAGACCGAAAGTTTAGGGGTGAAGAGCTATGCCACGCGCGAGAACCTATATCAGCAATCCGAACCATATATCGTCTTTATTAACATGAACTAACGGGACGCGCCGCATGCCCGCGACACAATACGAGTCGGCAGACTAGATCTCGACATGTGTAATGGGTGCGTTGGGCGCGGGGGGTTGCGGGTTGCTTCCTTTCGCCTCGCTACACCCAGTCAATGCAATAGGCAAGTCCCGCAACTTGATTTCATTTTCTCGTCGGACAAGTCCGCGCCTCGATTGAGCCATCACCGGGTTACCTTTTTGGTCATGTGGTCCCTCAACATCATCTTTTATGGACACGAAAGTGACCGCGAGTCGCAAGACTCACCAAAACTGGTTGCATCGACTGTACTTGGCACTGGCACACTGGTGGCAGGTTTTTTTTTCTTGCTCTCCCAAGAAGCTAATCTTTCCCTCTCTCTCCCTTGGCTCTGCTTCTCATGGAAGCATTCCAAGTGCCAAGCATACATGCTCTGGGGAAGCCAGAGCTTGGCGATGTTTTCGGCCCGTCAAGGAGAATAAACGGTCAACTGTAGCGAGCCCCCTTCATAAGTGCCGAGAATAAGAAGACATGTACGGTGCCGATTATGCAAGAATTGCCGATAACAGCTGCCGCCTTGCCATTTACTTTAGCGCGCTTGCACACTCTGAACCGGTGAAGGAGAGATAAGACAAATAGGAGGTTAAGATTGGGATACCAGAAACGGTGTGCGCCATGGCCTGTCTCGCTTGTTCCACTCCAAATTGTCTTGTGTGTGTGTGTGTGTGTGTGTGTGTGTGCGGTCTGACTTAATTCTCTCTGATTCTCAATCAGTTTTAGACGAGCATAGGCGAGTAGAAAAGGAATCATTCTACAGACGAGGTAAGTAGGACGACGTATGTGTGTGAGTGTGTGTGTGACGGAGAGACAGTATCATGCGCCTACGTAGTTTACGTACGTACGCATGTACGTACATGTGTCAGTCGGTCAAGCGAAGCGCTGGGCTGCTGGGTGTGCGGGGGGGGTGCAATTGCCCTTTGCAGGAGGACAGGGAACAGATAAAAAGCCAAAAATTCGCCGAGTCATGGTACTTTGGGCTGGGCTGGGCTGGGCTGGACCTATGCTGCTTTGTTTCAGCATACATATTGTATGTATGTATGTACATGCCATGTTTCGGTGTAATATGGGAGGTGGGAGGGGGGGGCTGCATGCAAGACGCAATATGCACCTGTCTCTCTCTTCTCTCTCTCTTTTTTTTCTTCATTCTTTCTGCCTAACCCTGGTCCTTTCCTTTTACTCTGTTTCAGAGCGGGAAAATACCCTGTGCCACTGTAGTTGACGAAGAGAAAAATTACAGCTTTGATTTACTTGTGTTATTTATTGATAGTTTCTATGTAGTTATCTCGTGCACTTCACTTTGCATTCCCCCCCCCCAACCCAATCACACACACCCTGGTCCGCCCTAATCGACGCGTGTAAATTGGCTAGTCAGGGTCAATGTTTGCGAAATACGTAGACGCAGCTACAGGGTATAGTACCTTCACCGCTGTTGCAATTCTGTCTACTCTACTGCGTAGTTTGTGAAAGTCGCTGCTGCGTCAGCACGTCAAAATCACTCATCAAACAAGCAAATCAATCAATCAATCATTCATTCAATACCTATATTCGTTTCGCCAGAAAATAAACTGAATATCGTACATAAATCAGTAAACGAACGGGTGCTTTCTTGATGATGCGAATGGGAAAGGAAAAATATTTCGCATACAAACTGCTGTTCTAACTGATACTCATCCCTGTTTCCAACGACGACTCGCACGCTGCCACGTGGACTGCAAGTATATCGTGGCGTGAAGACACGAATTTCAGTACGTGTGCGTGGGCGTATCGTTTTAGCGAGTTAAGCATGTCCATCCAATACTTACTCCCTTTTTTTTCCTCAATCAAGATTCTACTCGCAGCTTGTGTCCTCGAGTTTGAGATATCGAGGCAAAACGGCATCATGTGAAAGGCTCATATATTGCTTCGCTGCAGTAGAGCTTAGTTCTTGCAATAGGGGGGTTTGAAAGAGACATGGATGGCTGTGTGTCTCTTTGCTATGTGCTGCTTACGGGCTGAAACTGGACTGCTGTCGACTGTGAAGATTTGGCATTGGAGAAGAAGAAGAAGAAGAAGAAGAAGAAGAAGTTTACACGCGAACACACGAGGGGAGATGCGGCATGGATGTTAGCATAACTGTACTGTCATATCGAGTGTAGCAATTGATCGGTCGTAGAATCATGGCAGATTCCTTACGTGTGCTGTGATGCAATCCCTTCGATTAGTCTCAGTATCGAGGAATGTGAAAAAATAAATCATTATTCTGGTCCTACTCAGTCGTTGGCTTGCTTTGGCATATCCTTGGCGTTCCAACAGTGGCTGGATATACCACCGAGTCAGATATGTTTGGGCTGTTTTTTTTTGCAGGGAAACGGTATTGGTAGAAGAAGGTTTTCCATGGTGAGATTCCATCTTGAACTCTCTTCCAAGCGTACCTATTTCTTGTTAGTGCGAAGGGAGAAGATGGTACAGATGGAAGGTCTTGTTTTCCAATTGATGGATGGCAATCATGTAAAAAAAAAGTGACGCCTAGCATTCGATACTTCAGTTCATCAAAGTGCGCCCCGAGTGGAGAATGCTTTGATATTTCTCGGTTGTATGTCTTCAGGCTTTTCCAGGTCTAATCTGACATATGTGAGGGATAGCAAAATGCAGTGAGTGCGAATGATATATTGAATCGATAGTTGTCCTGGGTGAAACTTGCTTGCCCAGTGGATTCAATTTTGGAAAGATAGTAATAGCAAGTATTGATTCTGAACTGCATATATGAAGTCCTCGAGTTAGTATCAATTCTGGCGAGGCTAGTATGTGGGGATAAGTCGATGCTAATTTACTTGCACAGTAGGCATGCTTTTAAATACGTGTCAATGGTCATTGGCCCAGCTTCATAGACCTGCCAAGGTATAAGCTAGTAGAGATGTGAAAGAGTTGATACAAGGAGAGAAAAAATGATGCCGCAACGGTAAATCACTACACTAACAGGTATCCAAGACGTCGTTTTTCTTGGCGAGTCAGTGACGCTATTCGCAATGCAAGATGTTGTTTCTACTTGATGACTACTAGTATCTGAAGCTGCTCTTGACATGTATATACAGACACCCGGCATCTCCAGTGTCTTCAGAAACCATGGGAAGACAACTAGCAAGTACACTACGATGCTGTCCAAAGCGTGAGGTGGGTCATCGCTCAAGCTCTCCACACGGTGATCTTGGTAGGCCATCGAACCAGTGGGGCGATATCCAAGTATCCATGTTTTCCATTTCAGGCACTGGGAACCCTTCATCCAATGCATGACTGAGCATCGACTAATACGACACATCCAGGGGGTGCTTGCTAAGATCTACACACAGGGTAGCCCATGCATATAGTTGAACATGGTGGGGTACTCGGAACCGTTCCGACCGCGGGCCGATGTGTTTCCGGCGGTAGGCGCCGCCTTTCCATGTCGTAACGAACATCAGTGACAACACCTCCAAACAAACGTTACCGCGCCCAGCAACCATGTCTGGAGGTTGGAATACCATAGAGTCTGATGCGGTTTGTGCTCTGCCTACACAAGATTTCCTGTTTTCGCTCCCCACTGACACGGCGCGCAGGGCGTTTTCACGTATCTGATTGAGAAGCTCGGGGTTAAGGACGTACAGTTTGAGGAGCTCACTACGCTCGAAGCTTCCGACTTGCAGAACCTCGGGACCATCTATGGTGTGATTTTCCTCTTCAAGTACCCCACGGGCGAGAAAGCCAGCGACGTCCCCAAAGACGGCACGTACGACTACGAGGCGGCGAATTCCTTGTTCTTCCCGGCGCAAACCATCCAGAATGCTTGCGGAACCCAGGCGATAGTCTCGCTTCTGCTGAACAGGGAAGAGGAGATTGATATCGGAAAGGAATTGAAGGAGTTCAAGGAGTTTGCTGGCGACTTTCCGCCAGAAGTATGTGGAACCACGACGGGCGGAGTGAAGCAAGAAAGGAGCTGACTGAACAATAGCTACGCGGAGAGACGCTTTCAAACTCAGACCTTATCCGCGAAACACACAACTCGTTCGCGCGTTCGTCTCCCTTTGTCGATGAGACGCAGCGAACCGTGACGGAAGACGACGATGTATTCCACTTTATTGCGTAAGTATCCGCCGTGCTTCAAGAGCAGATGCTCGCTGTCAAGCGCATAACTAATGCACAACGCCACCAGTTACACAAGCATAAAAAACACGCTCTACGAACTCGACGGCCTGCAACCGGCGCCCATCTCCCACGGGCCCTGCACTGCCTCGGAGTTTCCTCAGAAGATCATTCCCGTGCTGCAGCGCCGCATCGCACGCTACCCTGCGACGGAAATCCGGTTCAACCTCATGGCGTGCTGTCGCGATCTGCGTATTCGCGCCCGAGAAATCGGCGACGAGGACGAGCTGGAAGAGCAGGAGGATAAGCGTGCGAGGTGGCTGTGGGAGAACTCGTTGCGAAGACACAACTTTGTGGGCTTTGTGGGCGAGTTGCTCAAGAGTGTTGTCAGGGCAAAGTTGGACCAGGGTGGGGATGCCTATGACAAGTGGGTTGACGAGGCCAAGGGCCGGTCGGCAAAGAGGAGGGAGGAGTTGAGGAAGCAGGGGATTGCAGAGGATTAGGGGGATAGGGACGGTGAAGGTCATGTGATCCAGATGACGCTGCATATGAGAACATACACGACTCTGATAATGACGAATACATGCCAATTCCAATCATGTCATATACAGCCAAGATATTGCATATGACTGTTGGTAGGTGACCTTCATGCCCTCTGCACACTCAGTCAGGTATGAATGACAGCAAGACACCAACAAAGTGAGTCATTGATCGACATGGTATTTTCATTCAGAATCAAACTATCTACTACCAGAGTGTGCTATCTACTAAATAACTATTCTCGATTTCGTCGGCGTCATATAACATCAGCATCAACAACATCAACATCAGCTGCCAGTGAAGGCAGCAAAAAAAAAAGGAAAACATTTCTCCAACTCCCTATAAAAACGCCGTATTCGCTATGCCGGCTCGGTACTATGCGAGGTTATATGCGATTCGCTACATTACTTCATAAACATGGCATGGTATGGTATGACGTGGTATTTGCTGAGATGATTGAGCAGGAAAAGAAGAAAAAAAATACATAGGAAAAACGAAAAGATTGTTCACCGCTTGACCAGGCAGTTAGTATTGGCTGACTGCGCAGTAGGAGAGTGGAGCCTCAACGAGGACAGGTGCCAGAGCGCATGACGTGTCTTGGGATGCAAGAGGAGTCTTGTTGAGGGGCTCCTGAGCCATGGGTGCAGCTTGCTTTGCAGCGTCGAAAAGCTCTACTGCACGGCTTGTTGGCAGTGCTTCTTCGGCTTTGAGAACAGTCTCAACGGGAGCGACTTGGGCTTCAACGTCAACTTGGGCCTCAGTCTCAACCTGGACCTCAGTCTCAACTTGGACTTCAGCCTTGCCCTCAATCTCAGCGACAGGCGCAGGCGCGGCAATAGCAGGAGTCTCCTGCATGCTGATGGCAGTCTGAGACTCAGTGACGGTAAGGGTCGAGTAGGATGTCGCCGTCATAGTCGCCGTAACCGCATTTGGCATTGCCGGGGCAACGACAATGTCAGTGGGCAACTGGAGCATCTGTGCGGTAGAAGCCTCTTGCTGTATCGCGTGCATACTCATGGTCAAGTATATGACGGCAGCAGTGAGGAAAAGAATAATCAGGTTGCGCTTGTCGCCCAGCAGGACGAGGACGTAGTTCCTGAGAAGGGTGCCGAGGGGAACCTCGGAGGATGGGCGTGGACGGGAGGCAGCCTCAACCCTTTCCTTCTCCCTGAGAGTTTCTTCCAGAGCACGGAGGCGCTCAGCAACGGCATCGGATTTAGCCAGCGCCTTGGCTTCCACCTCTAGACGAACTGCTTCTTTGGCTTCATGCAGCTTGGCCTCAAGGTCTTCCTCAAAGCGCTTCTTCTCGGCAGCCTTTTCGTCGATGCTACGTCGCAGCGCTGCAGCCGCCTCCTCGAAGCTCTTTTGCAGCTCAGCTTCTTCTTGGCGCTTCTTCTCATTCGTCTCCTCTTCCAGGATCTTGGCCTTGGCAGCGGCTTCTTGTATTTGGCGTTGAAGTTCCACAGTGTACTGCTGCTTGCGCTTGTCTGCATCGAGTTCCTCACGTGCTCGTGCTTCCAACGTCTTGCGGACCTCCTCTGGGATCCACGGGTGGATCTCAACGTCGCACCGTTCCATGTCGTTCCAGCACGCACCCCACGCCGCAGCACGCATCAGGCCGTTGGCGGCGTAGATCTTGATGTCCCATTTCCGTGTGCCAGCACCAATGCCCTTGCCTGGCTTTTTGAGTTGGCGGTGGCAGTCGATGCACATGCTGTGGTCGCCGTTGGCAGATGTATTGCTACCCTCGGTAAGTGTGCCTCCGCTCATCCTGCTACCGCGTCCAGTGTTCTCGTCGCCAAGGCTTGCCGTGTCGTCGTCATCCTCCCTGTCGTCGTCATCCTCGGGCGGGACAAAGTGTCCACACGGAAGCAAGCGGGGCGTCTTGAGCTCCAGGCTCTCGAGAATGCGTTCCTCGAGCAGGTCATACTCGTCTCTCGGGTGCGGAATCAGGAGACCGCGCCGCATCAGGATGATATCCTGCAGCTTCTCCTCTAGCAGCTTGTAGTTCTCAACCAGCCAATCGGGCATGATCCGTGCCATGATGTCGTGCGAGTAGGGCAGCTGCATGGGCAGGATGGTTACGTGCAGCAGCACGAGCGGAGCTTGCTGTGGCATGGGCATTGGGCGTGGGCTGTGGGGTTCGCGTATGCTCCTTCTTCTCGAGCCAGAGTGTCGTGAGCCCGGTGTCTCCGCGCCTCCGTTTCTGCTCGGCGTAGTGAGTTTGTAGGAGGCCTTTAGCCGCTCGTGCGAGGACTGGTGGGCTAGCAGAGGCGGAGGCGACGACATGTGCATTGCGCGAGCAGAATCAGAGTTTCGTAAGCGCGGTCGCTCCTTGCGAGCGCGGGCACCGGCCTCATTGGCAGGCAGAATGGGCTTTGAGGATATTGACGATTCCGAGGGAATGGCCGAGGCGAAGCTGTAGTGCGACGACATGCGTGGCTGGGAGCCGGGGCGCGCCGTGTACGAGCTGCGGTAGGGCAGGGGCTCGTCGTCGGGTTCCTGGTGGTGCGGGTGCTGCTGTTGCTGCTGCTGCTGCTGCTGCTGGAGCTCGATGGTGTGCACCACGTCGTTGGGGAATGAGCGCTCCGAGTGAAAAGAGTCGCCCTCCTCATACATGTCGGACGGCGACAAGGGTTCGTGATCCTGTGGGTCCTGGTAGACGGCAAAAGAGGAAAGGCCTGCGGGCTGGGGGGCGGGGTGATGCATTGTGGTTGTCATGGCGGGCGGGCCTTTGCGCGTTGCTCGTGGCAGCAGACAGTGCTCGGGGGCGGGCGGAAGGCAGTGGGCAAGCTCTTGCGGCCGTTGTCTGCGAGGGGGGGGGGACGTATACTCTACAGCGGGCAGAAGAAAGGGAGACACGAGGCGCGGGATGGCATTGCGAATTTCACTGAGATGCAGCGCTGCGGTGCGTGATCACTCGACGGCTACAATCTGGCGAGGTTGGGGCGCTAGCGGCATGCGTGAGCGACGTGTCAGAAGAGCGCTGGCGTTTGTTTACCTCACCGACACTTTTGGCGGGGCCGTTGGTGGGCGAGTAACCGCATGCTGGCGGCAACGGCACGCTAGCCGCGTGCCAGCCCCGTCGAGCTGCGGCGTGCCTGCTGCCATGTCCCTCGGGCTCCATCTGTTTGCTGGTCACGCACATGAACGATTGGCCTCTGACGAGACATGATATGCATACACACATGCACCCGCGCAGCCTCACCTTTGCCTGCAACAACTGCGCGACGCCAGCAGCCCGCACCCGCCCAAGGTCCCGTCGCCGCGGCGGGTACAGCGCATCGCCCTAGGCGCGGCTGGCGATGGGCGAGCCTGAGCGAAAAAAAAGCACGTCGGCCCGCTGCCACGCCCAGAGACAGGGCGGCCCCTTGGACTCAAAACCCCCCGCCATCACGTGATGCACACCATCACCATCGCCTTGGATCGCCGCTCACCGTATCGTTATGCCCCGCGCCTCCTCTTCCCTGCATATATCGTCCGCCTGGACAAACTAGCACACCGCCATGCGCATCCCCTAGACTTACTACGCATATTCTACGCAAATTCCATGCGAATCGTCGGCTGCCGACCATGCACATGAGTCGGAGGTACGCGGCTGGCGTCCCATCATGCTATCAGAGGTCGTCGACATTGCTCAAAACTGACTCCTAATTGCAAAAAAATCTAGCTCTGTTCTGATGTATTCACAAGCCAAGAATCAACCCCTCTCGTCACATGTCCATCTCATTCTCCGAGATTTTACATGTGATAGACATCCATCTACAGCTCATCCTTCTCCCTGTTCTGCTTCATCGCCTTGTCAAGCGCCGCCAGAATCTCCTCCTCGGTCGCGTCCTCTCCAATATCCAGCTTCTTCAGAATGCGCCCCTTCTCGTCACTCTTCTCCCCCTTGTTTCCAAGGTCCTTAAGCTTGATGCCCTCGGCATTAATGCCCGCCTTCTTGAGCGCCTCTTGCAGCTCCTCGTCACTCGGGCCCTTCTTGTCCTTGTGATCCTCGGCCGCGTCCTTCTTGTTCTTGTTGCTAGCCTTCTTGGACTTGGTAGTCTTGGACTTGGACTTGGACTTGGCCTTGGGCTTTTCCTGGTTCGGCGGCTTGAAGTACTTCATCTTCTTCATCATCATCTCCATGACCACATCATCCAGCTTCTTCTTCTCCGCCTCGACTTCCTTGACGCTAAAAGCGGGGTCGTCAGTCTCGCCGAGCTTGCTCTGCTTAGCCTCATTTTCGTCGAGCCAGGCCTGGGCCTTGGATGCAGCATCCCGGACAGTCTTTAGGTCGGTTTCAGTGTAGATGGTGGGCACTTCGGTGATTTCGGGCTCGGCGGGTGCGTCCTCTTCCTCTTCCAGCTCGGCCATGGGGCCCGTGGATGCAGATGCAGACGCTTGAGCCGAGGCCTTGGAAACGGCCTCGCTGCTCTTGGAACTCTCAAATGACTGCGTCTTGATCTGTCCGTCAACAAGCTGTTCAACTTCCTTGAGGTGAGCTATGGTATCTTTGAGAGTCCTGACAACTTCTGGGCGCTTTGCTGCTTCAGCTTTGCGGTTGAGGACAGGGTTGACGAGATCCTCCAGCTCCTTGAGCTTGCTCTTGAGTGTTTTCTCATCGGCATCAGCGCCTTCAGCGTGAAGCCAATCCGATACATCACTCAGTGTCGTTTCGAGAGTAGAGCGAACTGCCGAAGTCGAGGCGGCAATGAAAGACTCATCCTCCAGGTAGTCGCGTGCACGGTAGGTAAAGGCTTCCAGCGAGTTCAGAACCTCTTCGCGAGCGCGACGAGCCTTGTCAGACGCATCGAAAGCGGTAAGCCTGTTGAATGTTAACCATGAAACAACGTAAAGCTGTCATTGTAGAAGCTCACCTGTCTTGCATCCTCTTGAACTCCTTGCGGGTAACCTTCTTGTACCCCAACTCCTCCACATCAAACGTATGAGCAGACCTGACAACCTTGACCTTCTTCTCATCAGCTTTGGCAGCATCCGTGCTCTCAGCACCTGCAGACGATGACGATGGTGATGACGAAGAGGAAGACTTGGACGCAGACGACGAAGAGCTCTCGTTGTCGTTCAATGGCTCCTGGTCCTTCTTGCCACCCATACCGAATAGGTTCTTGACGCCATCAACAATACCAGCCTTGGGCTCTTCAGACTCGGCTTCGCACGTCACCCAGGCCGAGAGAACCTGGGGAGTACCAGTGACCGGGTTCAATCGGACCCTGACATAGTTGTTGAAGGTCTCCCGATCACACTTTTCTTCGTCAATCATCTGAGTGACAACGCGAGTCAAGTTACCACTGCGGAAGTGCATGGTAGGCTCCTTTGAAATCTTGCCATCAGCGCCAGGTACGGCCTGGTACATTGAAAACTCAAACTCGGCCATCATCTTGAAGTGCAGGTCCTTGGTCGCGCCGATCTTGGTGCTAGGCGTGAAGATTGTGTCATCCTTCTTTTTCATGTCAAACCAGTACTCGGCGCCGTGGTTGTAGCCTTGGGTGTCTAGTTCGCGAATCTCCTTGACGCGGAACGACGGGCTCAGGCTAGCGGCTTTGAAAGCAGCGCCCATCACAGCGGCCTCATCAGAGTTGACGTTGGCCCTGATCTTGCCTTTGCCTGCGATTGCCTCAAGACGAGCTTGAACAAACGGGGTACGGCTTGCGCCACCGTGAACAATAACCGAGTCGATATCGTCAAGACTAAGACCAGCGGCTTCGAGAGCTCGGTTGATGGGACCATCCACGCGTTCGGCATAGGCAGCTGCGAGCTCCTCAAACTTGGTGCGCGTGAGCTTGTATTTAAAGTCGACATCCTCGAAGAAGCTTTCAAAGAATGAGTTCGCATCCTTGTTGGCGCTGAGCATCTGACGAACCCTCTCTGCCTCCTTGAACAATTTGGCAGCGGTACGTCCGTGAGTCTTGACTTTCTCAGCCGTGAAAGACGCGCTCTTGGCGGCGGGGAGCTCGACAAAGGTAGAAACCATGTCATCGACGATGAGCGAGTTGAGCGCATCGCCTCCGAGTGTTCTGTCCCACCCAGTGCCCATCACCTGAACCTCCTGGATTGTCTTGTTGCGCTTGCCCACATCCTTGACCGAGCGGCCCTGGAATTTGAGAACTGTCGCAGACGCAGACCCAGCGCCCATGTCGAAGACCAAGTTGATTTCCGGCTTGTTTCCGTCCTTGGTAACATCTGCGAATGTCCTGCCTGTGGCATAGTTGAGACCAACAGCCAGACCATCCGTGACAACGTTGAGTACCTTGAGACCAGCCAGTCGGGAAGCGACCTCAAGTGCACGCCTTTCAGACACGGTGTAGAATGCTGGAACAGTAAAGACAACCTCCTGGACATCGTTGCCCTTGCCTGCCATCAACCTGGCGTTCTCCCTGACGTTTTTCAATTCCATGGCCAGTAGCTCCTCGATCGAGTACAGCTTGTCCTCGGCAAACACCTGGCTCTCAAAGCTGACCGTGGGGCGTCCCGGTGTGCCGGTGACGCCGAGTGCAGGATACCTTTCCTTGTATGTAGAAACCGCATCGCTCTCAATCGAGACACCCAGAAGGTGCTTCAGGTTGGGGTATACCTCGCCAGGGAATCGTCCCTGCAGTGCAATCGCATCGCCACCGTAGAATCGTTCGGGATATGAGCCTGCGGGGAGCGCGCCGCCTTTGGATGGCTTGAAGGCAACGGCAGCCGTCTCTTTTCGTTTCGAGTCCTTGGTGAGGACAATCTCAAGCGGGGTACCAGGCTTCACCAGCGTAGCCTTGATGTATTCGGTACCAAGATCGACACCGATGACGGCTGATGCAGCGGAGGCGGTCGACGAAAACAGAAACGCGAGCCCGAGGAGGATGGTTGCGGGCGAGAGCTGGCCTCTCCGGCGTCCGGGCGGCGCCATGTTGTGTGGGAAAAAGAGGCAATGTGTCGTTGACTAGGGGCGCGGGCTGCTCGTGGTGGGATGTGCAAGCGTCGCGGGGGTATAAGTAGCGTATTTAGCGTGATGACACACGAGAGGAAACAGAAGAGAAGAGAAAGGCAGGGAATCTATACCGGTTAAACAAGCGGTGAGCAAGACGTCAGTTGGAACCGTGGAGCATCAAACGTGGACTCGAGGGGTGGTTTGGCAGTAAAATGTAGCTCCAGAGCTAAGTACCCCGTTCGGAACTTATTTGACACCTGGTCTTTTATCGAGAGGCCAGTTTGGCATTTGAGCACCCACCAACGTCACAGGTTAATAGTTCATTTCATGCAAGGCTAAATTTCCGTGCTGCCTAGAACAAGATTTCCCTTTTTTTGAAAAGACATATCTGGTCTTATCACCATCTATGGAATAAGCACTTGGTGTGGCTCTGGGGATGCGGTGGTTGTTGCAGCCAATCACAGGGCCAGGAAGCATGTCTTCGCCGCACTGCACCTCGGTGACCATGTCGAGCGCTCTTGAATTCCTGAATTGCAGCCACGCCCCGTGTGCAGTCGCGCTCTGCAGGTGCCTTGAACAGCTTGCATCGGTGCTGCGCCGTGGTGGTCTGGTCGAAGTTGGTACCGTGTCCTTTGATCGGTGGCGCCGATCCATCATATCCCACGGTTAAACTCGACCAAACCATCCTTGCCCCCTCGATCGTGAAACTCGGGCTCCAGAGATTTTGCACTGACGGCCTGGCGTTGCGGGAAGGCAGCGAGCGCAAGTGGCAGTGCGAAGATGGAGGTAGTGAAGATGAGGCCTAAGGACACGTTAGGCGATGCTGTCATGCTGCTGCTGCTGCTTTAATGTTCCACTCACCCAAGTTAACTGGAGTCACCAATCTTGGCCTCTGCTTGAGCCACTCCGTCTTCTGTAACCTAACCAGGACAAGAGGCGGCAGAACCATAATGGGCGTAGCATTGAGCACTCGACTCAGGGCCGTCTCTCCCACAGCAAGCGTCGCGGCCTTCCTGCTCTTGCCAAGAGGCTTCACCTCGAGGTCGCCTGTCTCCACTCTATGCCGTTCAATTTCCGACAGCGCCGGGTAGACGTCAATGCCCTGCCTAATCTCCTCGCCACGCATGAGGAAGACGTTGAGTGCACCTGCTGTAGCGACCGCAGCGAATGGTACCAGACGCCCCGCGATCAGTTTTGCGTTGGGCGACAAGCGCTTCAGGCGGGGCACTAGGGCGTTGAGACCAACGGCGACGCCACAAGATGCGCTGACCGCCAGTAGGTATGACTTGACAATGGTCGAGGTGGAGAGGGGGATCGACTTGTTCGCATTGGAGAAGTTGACTCCCACATTGACCGACTGGTTCGTCACTTGCCATGCGAGTGTGCCTGCCGTCTATTCTTGCTCAGCATTTTGTCTTTTTTTTTCCTTTTCAACAGCATGTAGGCTCGCATACCCCAAGGCCTGGCGTAAGCATGCCAGCCGTGACAACCAGGTTGGTCAGCACGAAGCACGACATGCGAAAAGGCAGAAAGACTGGCTTTCCCGTATCTTGGACTCGGTCAGCATCTCCCCCCCTCGGCATATAGCGGCGCCACGCCAAGTACCTGGGTGCAATGTGGAATCGATAATCTTCTTTGCGTTCCAGAGCTCGGGCGTCATCTCTGGCATCTTGCCCGTCTTGTAGGCGGTGACGAGTTTCTTCGCATTTTCGAGACCGGCCGAGGATGTGAGTAGTGTCCTGCGTCGCACATGGTCAACTCAGGGTTCTACTTGGAAGCAAAATGACGCGGAGGCTGGGGCACAGCAGAGAGGGCAGTTGAGATGCTAGAGGTAGTGGTACTCACCACACCCAAGCCACGCAACCATATACATGCGGTGCGCAATGTCTCACCTCGGGTCTGAAATGTTGGCCGAGTGCCGCACGCGGCCCCAGTAGGTGCTGAGGTCGAATTGCGACACGGGCAGGTCACGATTGCCCGGCAAAGAAGACGTCATATCGCGTGATGTTCGAGGAAACAAGCCTGCGACTGAAGCACGCGAAGCTTCAAAAGGCCGACACGTTGTTTGGAGGAAGAAGATGTGATTGTGCGGATAAGTGCGGGCGCAACGATATCGGGGATATGCCGCGGGAGCTAGCCACAAGCGTCATGACTGCATTTTGCTTGATGCCACTTCAAGTCAACTATGGAATGCCAAACCCTCTACAGCAACGCTCGTCTTGAATGATGATCTTGAATGATATATAACTCGAATGCGCAAATGCAACAACGCGTCAAAGATTACAAAAAGCCTGCCAATGCTATCCATCTGCCAAACATTATTCGGTATCACTAAACAGCTGGGAAAACAGATTTTTTTCTATACAACAATTCCGTGTCGTGTCGTCTTGCCATAGTCATTGCTTGCTTATTTCTTCTTTTTCTTGGGCTGTGGGCTGGAAGGCGAAGTGCCTAGTATAGCGTCGAATGTCTTGGTTGGGTCGCTGCTTGATTCGGGTCTTCGTGCGGGCGAGCCGGCAGGCATAGGCGGAGCAACACCAGGAGGCAAGGGCAGCGCCTCGAGCCCAAGATTCATGACGCTCTCGCGTCGTCTGTCAGGACTCTGCGAACGGTCTCGCATGCTAGCGGCTGAAGGGTCGAGGAAGCCAGGGGGAGGCTGCAAGGGCGAGGCATTTGCGTTCAGCTCTTGCATGGCAGCGTTCAACAGCGTATCGTCGGCGGCCCATTGTTGCGCCTTCTTCCAGCAGTGAGATCGGCGAAAGACACCTTCTACACCGTGTTCGACAATGTCCGTGGGCAGGCTAACCACCTGTGCGCCTCCCGCCACGCCAAACCATGTCCGCGTCCGTGTGGTGTCCTCGCGGCCCCACGGGACGCCACTTCTTGGTACCTCGCATAAGAAATACTCGACGCCCTCGGTAAAGCGGACGCCAGGCGCATCCACCACCAGCATGGGCAGGGATTGTATGACGGCGTAAAGGAACAGCCATTGTCCTGTGCGCAGGTCCCAAAGGTCATCGAGCGAAGAGCCCGTGGCATGCTTGAACTCAAAATGACGGAACGCCTCCAAGAAAGGCGTTTGCTGCTCAGCATCGGCATTGTGTGATTGCTTCAGCAGCTTGGCGATTTCGTCCTTGTGCAGTTTCTTTCCCCGGGCTTTGGCATCGTGCTTGGCGTCTCCTGTCTGGGCGTTTGGAATCATGGGGTATGTCGGCAAATCAAAGGGTATTGGTGGCTGAACTGGTGGCGTACTGCGGTCGTACTCGCTCAGGACTTTTCTCAGCGCACGGCCGACAATAGATTCAAGGTCTGTGCCTTCGTCCTCGGCGAGGAAGCCGTCAGCTGTGCGGTTTGTCAGGCTCTTCCTGTTCACCAGGAGGTCGTAGAGATTGGACATGTCGCGATAGATTTCCAACAGCACGATCCGATTAAGACCACCTGTTGTAAGGTCGTTCTTCTTGGACTTGGCCTTGGGAAGCCACGAGCCGTATTTTTGTCGGTAGTAGTCGAGGATGAATGAGCGGGTCGTGTTGAAAGCAGACCTCCATTTCTTGAAGCTGATGACCTTGCCCTCGGAGGCCATGGCGCTGTTCATGATGCCTGAAAAGATGGCGGGGAACTCAAAGTCCTTGAGCTTGGTGTTGATTGTGGCTTCGCGGTTTTCAAGGTCCATGGCTGCACGCTGGAGTCTGGTGGTCGTCTTGGGGCTAATCATGGCGAACTTGGTGGAGCTGTATTCCTTTATCGTGTCGTATTTGCCGGCAGCGTGCACGAAGCCTTCGGTGTAGAGCCCGACCGAACGCATCTTTTCGCCGAGGACAATGGCTTCTATCGTCTTCTCGCGGCTGTGTCTGACATCGGCCAGGGCCAATTCGTCGACATAGCAGTCGAAGCTCGAGGCTGCGACCTCGCCAAAGGTGGAGCCGTCGACGTTGGAGAAGGCATAGTGCGACAGGATGTCGCTGATTCGCAGGAAAATGTCGAAGATGTCGGAATGGCGGTCGGTAGCGACGAGCGACTGGCCAATGAGGAAGGCGAAAAAGTTGCGGTAGCTGATGAGGGTGTCGGTGTCCTTGGGGGTGAGCTTGGGCTCGCTGGGTGTAATGGAAGAGTCGGAAGTCAGTGAGATGGGCATGTACAGGTGCTTCTCCGAGTAGTCGTCCTCAACGGCGTCGCTGAGGGCCCTGGAGCCCTTGGACTCGTCGGAGCTGCCAATCTGGCTGGGGTCGGGAGACACGGTGCGGGATTGGTCGGCATCGGGCTCGCGCGACAGTTGGCGCGATGTGCGCTCGGGGACTTCGAGGGGATGGGCGGCGTTGATGTCGCTGTAGAGGCTGCCGTGCACCAGGCGGGTGAGGAGCTGCGAGGCGGCGTAGACGGAGGAGTCAATGCGGAAGGAAGCGCCCTTTTCCGAGGTTCGCGGAAAGAGGTAGACAAACGTGTCCCCTGCCTCGTCCCACAGTTCTGGCACCTGTTGTCTTGTCAGCACATGGGGGCGCGTGGTTCGGGACGGGAGCCGCAACCTACTTTTTCGCCATTCAGCAGGGCCCTGAGGTCGTACGGCACCTTGCCCTTGTGGCCGACGATCCATGCAGGCGGGTTGGCGGCAGGATTGCCTGGGCCGCCTGCATCGGCAGCGTGTGGGGCGCCTCCAAACAGATTGCTCTTCCGTCGCAGCCTCTTCAGTTTGCCCGGGGGGTTTGGGTCGAGACTCGGGGTTGTCGGGCGGCTGTGGGACTGCGAGGGCGTCGAGGAGCGCGAAGAGGCGTCGAGGGGCGGCGGCGGCTCGAGCGGCTCGAGGTCGGCAGGGAGGGTAGGGACAGTAGGGGTGGGCGGCTGCAGCGTGGCATTGGGAACAGCAGGCTGGCTGGGCGACGTGGGCGCAGCAGGCGGAGCGTGGTCGGGGGCGAGGAGGTTGACGGACGAGATGCGGTTGCGGACTCTGGACAGGCGGCTGCTCGACTCTGACGATGGCGCGGGCGGGGACGACGTCTTGGTAGCGGACCCTGAGGATTCGGACGAGGCGCCGGAAAAGAGGCTCGACAGGCGGTTGGTCGTCTTCTTCTTGTCGCCCAGCATGGTGAGGGCGTCGTTGAGCGAGGCAGCGAGGGGATTGCGTGGCACAGAGGAGCGAGTGCGGAATGGGTCACAGGAGGCTGCGAAGGGACGAAGGGACTAATATGTCAATGTCTGGAGCAGCATGGGGGTCGACGAGGCACACGGTAAGCAGCAGCAGAGAACGGGCGCCATGCACGCACAGGCAGGGCAGCGGGCCGATGGCAGAAGTATATGTATGTAAGGATGGATGGATGGATGGACGGGGGGAGGGTGAGTGAGTGAGTGAGCGAGCGAGCGAGCGAGCGAGTGTGTGTGTGTGTGTGTGCGTGTGCGTGAGAGTGTGTGAGAAGGAGTGAGTGGGTGCGTGTGTGCGTGTGCGAGAAGGAGCGTGTATGTATGGCGGAGGGCGGGCAGGGCGGCAGCGACTAGTAGGTAAAGGGACCAGGTGATCTATAATTGAGCTGTCGCAGATGCGGCAGTGTCGCAAGCTCGTGCTCGCTCGTGCACGAGCAGCGGCCAGTGCCAGCAGCCTCCTGGGGGCCGGTGGCCAACAACAAGGTGCGGCCTTGACGAAGCCCTGTTACCTAACACGATGCTGCTAGTACATACAAGTACACACACACACTCTTGCGGCGAGGACCCTTCCCTTTTGCTGCGGCGGGCCTGTGCCTGCGCCTGTGCCTGTCATGGCCGGCGCTCGCACTCGTACACTAATCCTCGTAGCCGTAGCGTGGCCAAGGGTCCACCTCAGACGTCGTCTCTTGGGGCCCAGATGGCCGCATTATGTCACTGCCTCTGTTTCGCCCGTGTCCCAAACATCCTGCCGCCATCCTCTCCCTCTCCCCTCTGCGTCTTGGTTTGCCACATGGCCGTATTCCTGTGCCTAGAACCTCTTCGCCTACACCTCTTCGTCATGCCATGCCATGCCGTGCCCTTTGCGAGGCGTCGCAGATGAAGAGCTGCGAGTGCGAGTGCGAGTGCGAGCCGAGAGCCTGCCTGCGGGAGATGCGCGCATGGTGATGCTGATGCTGGTGTTGGTGCTGGTGCTGGTGCTGGTGCTGGTGCTGGTGCTGGTGCTGATGCTGATGCTGACACGGGGTTTTTTTTTATTTTTTTTTTGGAATTTTAGCAGCCACCTGCATGACGTACCGCTTGCCGTATCGATAGCGGCTATCGTGGGGAGGGGCGAGGGGCGAGGGCGAGGGGCAAGGGGCGCGACGGGTTGCCTGACGTGATGATGCCCTCTGCCCTCTGCCCGCTGCCTCCCTTGGGCATAGCCGCGCCCGTTGTCTGCAGCCGAGGAAACGTGGTCCTGGGCCCCCGTCCCGAAACAGCGGCATACACATGCACACGCACCTGCACTACCACTACCACAGCCAGACTGCAACAACCACGCCCGCCCCGACACACACGCCCACACACCCACATCAGCCCCGGCCGCGTTGCCGACCGCGCGCTCCTCCACCTAATTATACGCACCGGCCACCTCGGTGCATGGCCGCAGTGCGACGCCGCCTTGCTCACCTCTGCTGGCACCGCCCGTATTGCCTTTTCATAACCCTCCTTCCATCATGGGCGGCGGCGACGGCGGCGGCGGCGAAACCATCGCCGACCACATCCTCAAGTCCTTCCAGCTGCCAGACGTGGTCCCTTCCCCAACCAGCTCCAAGCCGCTCATCAATCTCCTGCGAGGGCACGTTCTCTCCTCTCCCCACTTGCATCATCCACCCTGCCTGCGACTCATCGCCCGTTCGCGTCCCGCTTCGCCTGCTCCGCCATGACGCGGCCCCATTGACTCCAGCTGCCGTTACGACCGGTCGCTAACCGCACCAGGTGGCCGAACCTGTCTCTGCTCCCGACACAATTACTCGATAGAGCGACCCACCGCGTGCTCCAGCATAGGCCAACTGCTTACCCGGCCCTATGCTATGGCCCGGACGAGGGCGATCCGCGACTGCGCAACAACATTGCACACTGGTTAACCGCCTTCTACGCCCCTGCCGAGCCCGTCTCGCAAAACCGCATCTGCATTACTGGCGGCGCTTCCCAGAACCTGGCCTGCTTGCTCCAGGACTTTACAGACCCTCTGTATACGAGAAACGTCTGGATAGTCGCCCCCGCCTACATGCTAGCTTTCCGCATCTTTGAAGATGCCGGGTTCCACACCAAGCTTCGCGCCGTTCCTGAGGACCCAGAGGGCATTGACATGGACTACCTAGCAACCCAAATTAGGAAAAGCGAAGACAAGGCGGCGTCTGAAGGCAATAGTGAGCCGGTGAGTATGCTCTTGGCTGCAACAAGACGCTCGCCCGATATGCATGCACATCATGGCCGACTTCAAACCTGGAGCCTGTGCCAAACCAGAAGTTGGCCTGCTTTCGCCCGTTCCGACTGACTGTCCCATTAGCTTCTCAAGCCTCGGCGGCCATTCAATAAGATTTACAAACACATCATCTATGCCGTGCCAGCCTTCTCAAACCCCAGCTCCAAGACGATGAGTCTGCGCAGAAGAGAACAACTTGTGCGTCTGGCCAGACAATATGATGCTCTTATCATTACAGACGACGTATATGACTTTCTCCAATGGCCCTCCAGTCTCACTCCCAGCACACTTTCGATTGAGAAAGCTAGTCTGCCCCGGATAGTAGATGTGGACAGATATCTCGACGGCGGCGCCGAAAGACAGGGTGCAGATGGCTTCGGTAATGCCGTTTCCAACGCCTCTTTCTCCAAGATTTTTGGCCCCGGACTGCGCACAGGATGGTGCGAAGGGACCCCAAAGCTGGCGTACGCCGTTTCACAGACGTAAGCCGACTCTTTTGCAAACCTTGTGCACATGCATCCTCTCGACCTTGTCATGCACCCTTCAGCCGACATTGCTTCCGAGACATGGACGGTGCAATGATGCCGGATTCGGCTGGCACCAGCCCAAGTAGGAGCTGGCGAAGCCATGTCTCACCGGGTCGAGTAGTGACAGCTGACATTGTTCCAGAGGATCGAGCCGCTCCGGTGGATCACCCAGCCAGCTGACAGCCTGCTTCGTGGCTGAGACATTGGAGACTGGAGAACTCCAGCGCTACGTGTACAACACGCTCCAGCCTGCATATGGCAGTCGGTATAGGCATATGGTTGAAGCTATCCATAAACACCTCACTCCGTTGGGCGTTCGCATCCCCCAGACCGACCGCGAAGTCGTCGGCGGATACTTCATCTGGCTTACGCTGCCTCTACCACTCAAAGGCGCTGATGTAGCACAACGTGCAAAGCAAGATAGCAACTTGGCGGTTGCACAGGTAAGTGCAAGCCACCATCACATCACAGGGTCAGAGTGTGGGTAAGGCTAACGAGACGCGTACGCAGGGCGACATGTTTGAGGCAAGTCTTTTTCCTCTGCTGTCATGTGCTTGTTACTAACAGGATCCAGGTCCCCGGCGACACCGAACATGCGGGGACATGTTTTGGCAACGACATTAGAGTTTGCTTCGCGGTACGAGACCATGGCTGCAACCACGATTTGCGCTAATTGGATGCTAGTGGGAAGATGAAGACATGCTCGTCGAAGGCATCGAGCGACTTGCCAGCGTGATTAGCCGCATGCTCCAGAAAGACGCTAACGGCGGGCAGAAGCTCACACGGCCTGTCACCTGTGAAGACGACGCAAAGGCCTTGTGGTGAACGACTGGCATGTTTCGTTTGAATGGGTGTGGTGTGGGTGTGGCATCTGAGATGACGTGAATGACGGCTAAAGAGCAATCGACTTGTATAAAGTGCATATTGGAATCGCATTATGCTCACCCTAATGAACGGGTGGCAAATAGACTCTCCGTAGGTGGCGGCGGCGCTTGCTCGAACTTGGTCTAGTCATATTTCCGTCTGCGGTTAGAGGCCCGGTTTTTAGACTACGCTCGTGATTGGCTTGGACACGCTTCTTCTGGACATACACACATGCACATACTCTGGTCCCTATGTTCGCTAGCTGGAGGGCATGGTACGGTTTCCACCGTGGAATGGCGACGAAGCTGGTGGTACATAGTTTGGTGTTTTTACCTTTTTTTCTGTTGAGCCATGGGCCTAAGTTTGGTCTGGTCCATGGCTTAGCGCTTGTCACCAAGATTAATCTTGGGGCATAGAGTAGCAATTTGCCTCAAAGGCCCAGTGACATGCAGAAGCGACGTGGAGCTGCCCTTTTGTCCTCGACCGCGGAGGCAGCATGCACACAGTACACCTACGCCCCAATGCGACTGATAAAAGCTTACATTTATCATACCAGGGCTCTGTTAAGTTCCAAGGGGATCTACGTAGCAGCAGCAGCAGCATAAAGACGCGTTTCATGCAAACGAGGCACACACCACCCGGGCTAAGATGAAAAGGAAACAGAAAAAAAGCCGGAAACACTGCAGCGGCGCGAAACGGACATGCCGTTTCGTATGAGCCTCAGGCCGCCATTGGCAGACTCTGGGCGTCCTTTGATTTCTGTGTACCTGCATCATGTCGTGTGCTTGCAGGGCATATGGCGCAGCGAGGCGCGACCGTATGTGTTTCTTCAGCCTAGGCGTTTGTCCTCATGGCTCATCCACGGTCGTGCATGGCCTTGACACACACGATACAACGCGCCTTTGCCACCGTGTGAGCGACACCGTCGACGAGGGCCAGACGTAGGCGGGCGTGGTGGTCGAGTGAACTGCCCTCAGCCTCTGTGACTCGGACGGCGTGTCCTTGGGCGCGCAGCGGCAAAGCAATCCGCAGGGCTTGTGTCTTTATCCAGAATCGACGTGTTCTCCGGGCGGCGGCGGCGAATGACGACGCCCTGGACTGCGTGTGGAGCCGAAGCGCTGGCAGACGACGGCATCTCCAGAAACGGCCAACGAGGGCCTGTCGATGGCCTGGCGTTTCAGGCCCGTCGCACCTCGACTTGCCGCCTTGCACGCTAGTCCGCGCATCCCTGTCTTGGCGCCAGGGACACACGCTCGCCTCGCCAACCTCTGCACATCCTCCACCATTCACTGGCCTATACCGCCCGCTTGTTTCACGCGGACAGCGGCACTGTACGGCAACATACCCGTCGTCTCTACTAGCCGATGCCCTGGGCAATCTTGCATCTACGCCAAAACACGCCAGGCCACAATCCAGAATAGCAACTTGTCCATCGCCATCTCCTGAGACCCGGACGCGGCTGTCAGCCATGGCTACACGCCCTCATGATGCGGCCGCAGAGGGCCACCCGTCTCTGTGTGCGCCGTATGGCGTCCAGAGGCACGATGAAGAGGCTGCCCACGACGCCGACTGGGACAGCGCAGACGAGGAAGAAGGCGACGATACAAAACATCTGCTCCACTCCGGCAAAAATGATTCAAGACCAGCACAGCGAACACCACCCCCTGGCTACTTGAAACCTGAAACAAACGCTCTTTTGAAAAGTGATTGGCTCGCTGAATCTATTGTGAGTGTGCCTTTGCGGATACATCGCCTACATATACAAGGCTGCCGTGCCCCTCCCGTTGGCTTTTCCCCCCTTCACGCAGGCTCGCTGTCACCTTCACAGCACACACATTGTGTTGCTTCACTTGTTATTCTTTATTGTCATTCATTATCACAATCACATTCTTGCTACCTTCTTTCACTGTAGTTGCTAGTCAACTCTACACTTGTGCACTCCTGCAACTCTTCTTCGATCTAAAGCACCTACGACCAACGTCTCTTGCTGGTCAACTGACAACTACGCCTCCAGTCATTCGACTCATTTCTACCACGATTAGCGACTCCGAGATTCAAGACACTCATTATCATCATGGTGGCCTTTGGTGCTGGAGCGTTTCTCCTGACGCTGCGCGTCCTACTTTCTGCATCTCTGTCTTCAGCGGTTCCTTTGGCTCAAGCACCGGCTGCACCAGCCCCACCGGCGGGCGGCTCTGGATACTGGCTTGGGTCCATCAAGCACCAGGGCCAAGCCGCCTTCAACCCCAACCCAGCATCCTACCAGGTCTTCCGCAATGTCAAGGAACTGGGCGCCAAGGGCGACGGTGTTACTGACGATACCGATGTCATCAACAAGATCATCGCCGACGGCAACCGCTGTGGCGAGGGCTGCGACTCTTCGACCACTACTCCTGCCCTCGTCTACTTTCCCCCGGGTACTTACATGATCAGCAAGCCCATCATCCAGTACTACTACACAATGTTCGTTGGCGACCCATTGAACATGCCCGTTCTCAAGGCCACAGCGAACTTTGAAGGTATGGGCCTCATCGATGCCGATCCCTACATCCCAGGTGGCAACGGTGCCAACTGGTACACCAACCAGAACAACTTCTACCGCCAGGTTCGCAACTTTGTCATCGACATCTCCGCCGCCAAGGTTGCTGCTGGTATCCACTGGCAAGTCTCCCAAGCCACCAGTCTACAAAACATTGTTTTCGAGATGGCCAAGGGTGACGCCGGCAAGGACCAGAAGGGCATCTTCCAGGACAACGGCTCTGGTGGTTTCATGACGGATCTGGTCTTCAACGGTGGTGCCATTGGCGCTTTCATGGGATCCCAGCAATTCACCGTCCGCAACATGACCTTCAACGACTGCGGCACCGCCATTTTCCAGAACTGGAACTGGGTCTTCACCTACAAGAGCATCACTATCAACAACTGCAAGGTTGGTCTCGACATGGCCAACAGCCCTTCTAACCAGACCGTTGGCTCTGTCCTCCTGCTCGACAGCAAGCTCACCAACACCCCGATTGGTATCAACTCTTCTTTTACTGAAAACAGCGTGCCCACCACCGGCGGTACTCTGATCCTCGACAACGTCGACTTTTCTGGCTCTGAAAAGGCCATTATTGGCCCCGGTGGAAACACCATCCTTGCAGGTGGTCGCAAAATTGACGCCTGGGCCCAGGGTAACGCTCTCGCTGCTGGATCCACCCAGGGCCGTGTTCAGGGTGATATCACTGGCGCACCCGCTAAGCCCCAGAGTCTCCAGGGTCTGAACGGCTGGTTCGAGCGCAGCAAGCCCCAGTACGAGAATGTCGATGTCTCCAAGTTTGTCAGCCTCAAGTCCAAGGGCGCCAAAGGCGACGGTGCGACTGATGACACTGCCGCTATTCAGTCTGCTATTGATGGCCTCCAGGCCGGCGAGATACTTTTCGTCGATCACGGCTCTTATCTTATCACCAAAACCGTCACTGTTCCCGCGGCGAAGAATGTCAAGATGGTCGGTGAAGCTTACAGCACTTTCCTCATCACTGGCGACTTCTTCTCCAAGATGGATGACCCCAAGCCCGGCTTCCAAATCGGCACTAAGAGCGGCGACAAGGGCTCTTTCGAGGCTTCTGATCTTATCATTGGAACCCAGGGCCCCGCCCCCGGCGGTATCCTGATGGAGTGGAATATCAATGCCGAGAACGGCGCTGCCGGCCTGTGGGATGTCCATTTCCGTGTCGGTGGCTATGCTGGCACCAAGCTCCAGTCCTCCAACTGCAAGAAGAACCCCACTGCCCAGCACCAGCCCAACCCAGAGTGCATTGGTACCTTTATGCAGCTGCACATCACCAAGAACTCCAACGGTTACTTTGAAAATGTCTGGCTGTGGACTGCCGACCACGAGCTCGATCAGGATGACCACTCTCAGATTGACATTTACAACGGTCGTGGTATGCTCGTCGAGTCCCAGGGTCCCGTGTGGATGTACGGCACTGCCTCTGAGCACTCGCAGATGACGCAGTACCAGTTTTCTGGAGCAAAGGACATTTTCTACGGTGCCATCCAAACCGAGACTCCGTACTACCAGCCCAACCCTACTGCCTCTGTGCCCTTTACCCAAAACTCCAAGTTCTTCGACCCAGACATGAGCCAGGCCAAGGCCGCATGGGCCGTCCGCGTCACCGACGGCAGCGAAAGCATCTGGAGCTACGGTGCAGGCACGTACTCGTTCTTCCAGAACTACAACCAGGCCTGTGTCAACGGCCAAAATTGCCAGGAACACATGAACGAGATTACAAACTCCACCAATGTCAACTGGTTCGGTCTTTCGACAAAGGCTTCGGTCAACATGATTACCGTGGCGGGCAAGGGTGTGGCCAAGGACAAGGAGAACCGGTCCAACTTTTGCGCTACATTGGCCATTTTTGCGCAGGCATAGCGTGTTTTGCCGTCTTCTCTTGGCTTACAGAAAAGACACACATGTGCTTGGCGATGAAGGGGTCAACTTCATCGATGGAGAAGCATATCTTCTTCTTTTTCTTCATGCTTTTCTTCTTTCCCCTTTTGTTTGTGGGGCCCTATTCTTTCATCACCTTTTTTCCTTGCAGTTCTTCTACAGCATATACATACATATATATATATCCATATGCTATCTCTACTTTCATCTTGGTGCCACCTGCTTTTTTTTCTCGTCATGTCTCTTGATGCCGCAGTACTTTACATTCGCATTGCGAGGGAGAAGTCGCTTTTTCGGCATAACATCATTATACCCCTCCAAGTTTTTTTCCTTTCCTTCTTTCTCATTGTTTTCCGGAGTTTTAGATGATGAGGCGCACAAGGCATTGCAAAGAGCAGGGGTGATTAGGGGTAGGGCTTCTTTTGCTTGTTTATTTACTTTTTTTGCGTTTTGTACGTGCATGTGAGAGAAAGATAAAAAAAAACTACTTCCATGCCTTCTCACACGCTTTGGCACTTTTCGTGTCGTTACCAGTAGCAGGGCGTCGTTTCGCCTTTTTGCTTTTGTGTGTGTGTGTGCCATGTGTTGGTGCAATGTGTGCGTTCTCTCCAACTGATTGCCATTGCAGCTTCTCTCTCTCTCTCTCTCTCTCTCTTTGTATTATTCACAATGTAAAAATAAATGTAAAAGACCATAGTGAAGGTCTGAGAGTTATGGTGTTCTAATAGCCTCAGTGTGGCGCACCGGCGCCACTCCGTAACTGGTAAAGTCGGAAATAGAGAACAGCCGAATTGTCCACTAAGCCGTTCTGGGCTGTGCGGGTACGCTAGCCGTTGGCTTTAACAGTAGGTATACTGCCACAACAAATGCGCATTTATTTGATTTCCTTGTGTACATAAAACAGAGACATCTTCTATGACGTTGTGAGTCTAGGGAGTTTTATCAATGCATGATAGTGCGAGCACGTAGTGTTGATAACAAGTTTCCAAAAGTCGGTTGTTCTCAATTGCCGGCTTTCCCAGCGCCACCAGAGTTCGCTTAGTGTTATACAGGATTCGGCTGCAGATACTTCTCTAGTCCTGCTCGGCTGCACGCACTTCTCTCGTCCTAGTCTACACAAAGCTGCCTAGAGAACATGCCGGAAGGAGGTGCAAAAGATAGCCGACGGCCACCCACTCCGATTACAAGTTTGGCTTCTGTGCCGTTAGCAAAAAAAGATAAGGAGAGGATGGGGAACATCGCGGGCGGTGGGAGGTGGAGGTGGAGGTGGGAGGTTCCAATAGAATGGAACGGGCCGGGGAAGACAACGGAAGACCCGGAGAGTCCTTTCGGTACGCGGTGGGGGTATATGAGCCTCCCCCCCAAATATGTATACCATTGTATTGGATGTATTTGTGCCATTGCAGGGGCCCTTATCTTATGAGAGGTTGAGTAAAGCATGGATAGCTTGTGTTTGACTAGTACAAATATCAGAACCAAGCATTTACATGGTGGTCAACTGGATGCTTGTTTTGAAGGCTTGTCTTGGGCCTGTCTTGGGCAGGAACAGGAGCGATCTTCTTTGCCCGCTGATTATCAAACTTTGTACAGTTCTCAAATGCATTTTTCTCCCTCTTTTACCCCTTTCTCCACCTTTTCGTGCTAAAAATATCTCTTTGTTGTACATAGCTTATTCCCAACAGCGGTGCGGTCGTTCCGGAAACCCCACTCTGGCTCCATCATGTCAAGAAACTTGCAGGCTTAAATTCACGGAGTATGTTCAAAAAGGCTCTTTCCAAGCCTACGCATCGGTCACCGGATTAGCGATGGCCCAGGCGACAAGGGACATGCCCTCGTGGCCTCCTTATCGCGTACAGAGCAATAGTAGTATTCGGTCCTACTATCAGTTCACATATACGCCAACATGAACACAGAAGCTCTACCGAGTTGCCTATTATAGACTATAAGGATCTCGATTTGATGCAAATCATTACTAATAGAATAACTTGGCCTACGTCTTCCTGTTTCAAACATGCATTTCTTATAGAGTTCCTAGCTAATAAGCAGGAACTCTTACTACATCGTAAAGGCGTCTGCGAGAGGACAAATAATAATCGGACCGAACAATGCTTGATTTGGGGGGTCCCCCAGATAACGGTAGCCGGCAAGGCCGTGAGGTTGCTTACAAGGTCGATTAGGTTATCTTGTTATCGTCCTGAAAGATAACCGAGATAACGGCTTTAACACATGGAGATCGTGATTGGAATTTTCATTACGGGACATCAGCTTAATCTCAATGTGAACCAGTTCTGTTCCGCCCGCTCCGATCCACGCCAAGGAAACGCCAAGCTCACGGTATCAAGTAGTAGTAACCACCATGGATCTGTAGAATATTGAGTGCGGGGCGTACACAGAGAACCCTGTCCATACAATATGTATTGACAATAGTATACGTGGGGAACATGACTGTGAACTCAACGATAGTAGCCGTGGGGAAGCTTACGACACACTGACTTAGGTACGGGCGGGCGGGAGTCGGTACTTGAAGATATCCAAGTCGGCGAGGATGTACTTACAACATAAAAGGCCTGAGTTGCCTTACGAGAATTCCTTTCTACCACGCACACTTCGCCTCTCTCAAGCTGTCGAGTTACTCTGACAGAACAGCGATTGTCAATAATGCGTTTCTCCACCACCATCCTCGCGGCCTACCTGGGACTCATCGTCCCGGGCAATGCCTTCTCGGAAAGGCGACTCGACAGGAGCATTTTCGAAAATCGTACAGCAGCTTCTTGTTCAGGGGACCAGCCTCCCTCTGTTCCTCCACACAAAAACTTTTGGGGTAGCTTGACGGCAGCAGAAACTAGAGATGTACTGGCTCTTCTGCACAGTGACGCCGTTGGATTCAATTTGACGAACGCAAAAAATGCTACAAGGTACGTTGAAACTGCCCAAAGCTTTGTAACAAATGCACTACTAACACATTATGCAGCCGGGACAACAAAATGTAAGTGTGAAACAAATCAGCCGTGTGCACATCTATCTAGCAAGACTGACCGGAATTCCAGCATGTCGGTTGAGCTTATGATGCCCAATAAGACAGAAGTCCTTCCCCTGCTATCCAGCAGCAACGGGACCCCGACTAGGTACGCCTTGGCTGCGGTAATGTTCGGAGCTCCAGAACAGGCCTATGTTCAGGAGTTCAAAGTCGGCCCTCTGCCAATCACCAATGCCTCGGCTGTGCTACCCTTCACTTTCGCCAACACGAGGAAGAACCCAAAGATCACAGTCGTAAACCCAGACGCGGAAGATTATGGTATTTTCAACCTAAAGAACATGAAGGATGCCGAGGATGTGACAAAGAAGCTTTGGAACCTGGTGAGTTTGACGTGAAACCCACCTGTACATCTAAGTGGCTAATATGAACATGTAAAGACGGTTGATGACGGCCTCCAAGTACCCCTCGCTTTCGCTGCTCCAATCACGGTGTCTGAAAACAAGGTCATCATGTGGCAAGGCTTCAATGCCCCAGTCACAAGCATCTACGACCCCATCTCCCTTCTGCCGCTAGGCCTCTATATGAGAACGGATATCACCGGACGTGATCCCAGCAAGTGGAAGGTGACTGGCTGGGTTTACAACAATGTGTTCTACCCAACTCTGGATGACTTCCGCAAGGTCATTAACCAGCCGAACTTTAAGTCTTTGGGAATGAATGTAGACGAGCCTTGGGCTCATACGAAAACACACGGAGATGCTATGCCTCTTGATATCGACCCACCGCCAGCGCCAGTCCGAGCAGGCAAGGAAAGATTCTCTGTTGATGAGCAGGAAAGCTACGTGACCTGGAGTGAGTCTATATTTGAGCCTTGTATTGAAACCTCAAATGTATCTAATGGTTTTCTAGTGGATTTCTCATTCTACGTCAGCCTTACCCGCGACAACGGCTTGCGCCTCTTTGATGTCCGTTACAAGGGCAAGAGAATCCTCTACGAGGTAAGCTAGACTTTTACATGCCCTTTTTGGAAATGTGGCTGACCAATCTGACCAATATCTAGTTTGGACTGGACGAGGCCATTGCACACTATGCGTAAGCCAAGATTCGACGCGTAGCTATTCGCACAACATGCTGACTTGGTGACTAGTGGCATCGACCCTGTACAGTCAGGCACATGGTATGGTTTCAAAGTCTCTGGTGACGCACGTACTTTTGCTAAAGGTTTACCCCAGTTACTTCGACAGCATGAGCGGTTTTGGACCCACAATGATCTCCCTTGTCAAAGGTAAATACCAAGCCCGTTAATGTGTCATTGAACATCATACTGATCTCGGCTCCTCTAGGTTACGATTGCCCAGCCTATTCCCACTTCCTTAACGTGTCTCAAACTACCGGTGAGACTACATACACGCAGAAGGAAGCCCTATGTAAGCCTTGCCCTAGAGTCTGGAATGAGAATCACACTGCTAATTGACCAAGGCTTGTTCGAGATTGACAAGGGGTTCCCCATCCAGCGTCATTCCTGGGCTGGTTACACGACTGTCACTAAGAACATTGCGTTCAACGTCCGTGCCATCTACACTATCGGCAATTACGACTACATGATTACCTATCAGTTCTCCCTCGATGGGTCAATTGAAGTCGCGGTTCGGGCCTCGGGATACATCTCCTCGGCCTTTTACGCCCAAAACGAAGACTATGGTTTCAAGATCCATGACAGCCTCTCCGGATCCCTGCATGACCATGTCATTACCTTCAAGGCTGACTTTGACATCTTGGGAGAAGCCAATTCACTACAGAAGGTTGCTGTTGTGCCGACCACTGAGACGTAAGATGAATTCTCTCACTACTCAAGTATCAGACGAGCCGTACTAACTTGCGCAAAGGTACAACTGGTCTGGAAACCGAACGCACAAGACCATGAAGGCTGTGAAGAGCTTCATTGAAACCGAAGACGACGGCAAGATTAACTGGACGCCCAACGGCGGCACAATGTACGCCGTTGTCAACAAGGACGCGAAGAACAAATACGGTGAACTACCTGGTTACCGATTCGTCCCAGGTTTGTCACACCCAATTCAAACAAGCCCGTATCTTTTGCTAATCGTATCAGCGTCCAATGTTGCCTATCTTACGGTTAAAGATTCAGACGTTACTAAGAACGCGGCTCATCACACTACCCATCACTTCTACGTTACTCAGCAGAAGGATAACGAGATTTATGCCGTCGGCGCATACAACTCGCTTACGCCTGAGGACCCTCAAGTCGACTTTGACAAGTACTTCAACGGAGAGTCTCTCGTGCAGGAGGACATGTAAGATGACTCCCTCTGCTTGTAGAAAGATCATGGCCTAACATTATCAGTGTTGTTTGGTTCAACCTGGGCATGCACCACATGCCTCACACTGGCGATCTCCCCAACACTGTCTTTTCCACCGCACACTCTTCCATGACCATTGAGCCCTTCAACTATCTGCTGGGAGACCCTTCGCAGGCCAGCGCCCAGCAGGTTCTGATCAAGACAGCCGATGGCAAAGCAAACATCAACCATTACGGTGCCCAACAAGCTAGCTGTCCGGTAGACATGGTACGTTACTCCATTCCGTTCACACAGAGATTGATGCTGACAATGCTACTCCTACAGAGCCAGCTCAATCCGGACCTCTCGCAGTACTCAAATAGCATCAGTGTACTGAAGTATCCGTTCGACGGATCGAAGCCAGATCGCGCTTGAGTGCTTTCTCAAACGGGAGGTGAGGAGAAAAGTGAAAATGGGTTTTTGAGTTTTAGGATATACAGTTATAGTGATCGAATTGAATCTGGAGTTATTGCTTTAATACTATTCCAATATGCTAAGTGATGAAATTGCGCTATATACTGTGTATCTGTTGTCGTGGTAGAAACCAATTACAAAAAAGAAGATTCTCCTCTTACAATCTCAACATCCTTTCCCTACCCTATTTTCTACCGTCCTAATTTTAACCACAACCAAGCCTCATATCAGGACAGAACTTGGATATGAACATACCAATCGACATGTAAAGTGCTGTCAGTGTTTACTGGAAATGCACACATCTCGATATTGTTGTCCTGATTAATCTCCCACGTCGTGGTCCAGTCCGAGATGAATTGGGCAGATGCCACATAGAGGCTATCCACTTTAGGTACATCCGTTGAGCTTGTATACGATCTCCAGTGATCAGGTCGTAGAAATAAGCGTGAAATTCGCCGCTTTTGCCTCCGTCGGAAGCGACGAACTGATACTTATTGAAGCACTGCTCTTGCAAAAGAGCACCTCGGGAAATGGTCGCTCGAAGGGTATGGACTGCACTCTGACATTCACTGTATGATTGAAGCTTTCCCCATTTATTCGATTGTGATAAAAGTTGTGCACATGTTGTGTACAGATATGATCGGTATCGCATGGAATAAAGGCAGATTTGATTTCCTATCCCTTAGCAAGGGATAAAGGTCTGGGGGTTCAGAGAACTTACAGAAGGGTTTAGGATATCCGATCCTTCGCAAAGTTGACATTGAAGTTTTCGTTGGTTTCCCCCAGTGCACGTAGAGCGCTGAACTGCATAAGTAGCAGACCCTGTGCCGTATGCTGCATTGTAGATATCATCATCCCTAAACTGCCCATACGAGCTGCTGCTAGGACACAGCCCGTTTGGATAAGGATCAGCGGCTCTGCGATCAAGCGCAGCAAGGGCCCTCTTAGACGCATAGTAATCGCTATTTCTTCTGGCAAGAGATGCTCGGGACCTCTTACTATAGCTACGATCACGAACCACTAAGAGTGCCACCTCGCTCAAAGGGACTGATCGTGTACTATCATCTTTAACCAAGGTCGCCTCGGCGGTTTCCGCGTACGCCAAACTCGAAAGAGTGAAATAGAGTATAGCCAGCAGGCTGAGGCAGCGTGAAGCTGACAACATTGTAGATAGAGGAAGAGGAGTAATTGGTAGTTGATTCAATGGATGGATGATGAGTTTAGAAGGTCATTTGCCTTTAATATTTACAGTCGTTGAACTGACAAAGCTTCGTGTAATGTAACTTCCTGTGGGGGTGTTATTTGAAAGTTTGTCCGCATCTTATCCGAGGAGCGTAAGCTACTGTGCCGAGTTGAGTGTAAAGGTGCAATGCATAAACACTGAAAAGTAACAAGGTGGGTGAGCAAATTATATAGTACCAGGATGTTCGTGGTGTTAATCACCCTCTCTAGGCTAAGTACAGATCTGTCGCCTAGGTGCTACACTTCACTGAGTAGAACAATGGCATTTGGTAAATGGACTAAGCTAGAGATGAGTGTAATATCTGCCGTAAGACTCTATGGATAGTTGCGGCAATTATAGCTCTTGTTAAGAGGTCTGGTTGCTAAAAGCTAACATCTGGAAATGTGCGCAGACGTTCTCTATGATGTCCTACGGTTCTTTTCACTTAGCTAACTATTTCTGTAACTAACCTATTTAGTAATCTCGCTATATAATAGGAACTATTATCCTGTATAGCTTATGCAGGCTGAAGTTTTGTAAACCTCAAGTAAATTACTCTACACATTCAGCATTATGCAAACTATCTCGATACATCATTATTTATCTAATAGCCTACTGTAATTAAGATTTTTTATGTTTTTACACAAAGGAGAATGAGTATCACTTCTAATAATACACCGACAAACTTGAACAGGCTTCTATTACCTCCTAGTTACACAAATACTATTGTAATTGTAAGAATACAAAACTCTGCTTAGCAATCATCTTTAATTAGAGATATATTCTTATTATTATTATTATTATTATTATTCTAGTTTAACGTCCTTTTTCAGCCCAAAGGGCTATATAAGACGTGTAGGGTTTTTAGGCCTACAAGTATCTAAGTAGGTTGTTTCTAGCTACGATATTTAGGAGGGGTTTTAACTAGATGAAGGTGAGGCTCGTAGCCTATTGGTTGGTAGGTAGGGGGTGGGATAGGGTGGGGGAGGTGTATGGCTACCTGTTATAGGTATTACTCCTCGTTTTCTGTGTTTCCTTTGTACCAGGCTTGTGTTCTAGCCTTTGTTTCTTAAATAAAGGTAATAGTTGCTTCTATACCCTCTTTTGTTTAAAAGAGGATAGGTAGTAATAGATTGCCTTTGCAGGCTTCTCTTAGTCCTTTTCTTTTCTCTCTATATGTAACGATGTTACAACTTCGCCAAGTATTGAGCCAATCCCAGAGCCGGATCGGAGGAAGTACCTGCCGCCCTTCATCAGCCATTCGCCCGAGGTCGGATCCGAATTCG